ACCAATAAGGTGGCTGGGTGATGCTGGACTTAGTTATTAGGAAAATTCTATGTAGTTATTGTATATAGTTGCAAGAAACTTAATAAAGTACTAGCGTAGCTGCTTAAGAGCAAAAAAAAAAAAAGTTAAATGTTTATATAGCAAATTCTAATGCATTTGCTTTTTGATTTTATAATGAGTTCTTTGCACATCAGAGTTAGAAATTTTGAAATCATCATATAATAAAATATTAGCTTTTCTTTTCATACTTGCCTTTATGATCTCCTCTATGTCAGCATCAGTTATTTGGTTTCAGTCTTCTTAATTATGCTAATTCCAAACTTTTTGAAAGGCCTTCACCCAACTATTAAAGATAATATCATGAATTTTTGCAGGTTCTTTTTCTGTTTGATTATTTTCTGTTTAATTAAAAGAACTGTATATAATTAGCATTGAATAAAATCTTTGATATATAGCAAAAATATGTTTGCATGCCATTTCATAAAATTTATAGTCTATACATATGCATTCAAAATAGGTTAGTTTTATGTTTTCATTTTGTTGCACATGATCTTTGATGTTAACCTCATAATAATGATCTTTTGCTGATTTTACAAGGTAATATCAGCTATTAGAAAAATTAAAAACATCAAGGTCTAAACTAACAAGTTTATGTTGTTGCTGTTCTCTTTGGTGAGACTTCATTCTTCTAATCATTAAATAAACAGCCTCATATTCAAACTTTGCATCCTTTAAAGCATTTCATAAAGTTCATATCAATGTATCAATCTAGTTATTTTGTTTAGCAACAAAGTAAGTATATTTTAATTTTTTGTGCCAGGATTCAATGAAATTTGTTATATTCATTTTTTAATGTTCATATAGGCAGTATGCATTAATTCATTTTTCGCAATTGTTTTGATATTCTCTTCTAATATATTCTATTTATTTGGTTTTATTAAATCCTGACCACCTTTCTAAATATTCATTAAATTTATTTTTTATCTGATAAATATTACAAATTTGCATTATATCATTAAGCTCATCTAGTACAACTTTTTGTACTATTTGTTTTTTAGATTATTTAAAAATTTTTTCTTTTTTTTTCATTTATATTTTGCACTTTAAAATATTTATTGTCACTATTAATTTTATTTTTATTTTTTGCCAGGCATTCTTAACATGCTATTGGCATAACAAAATTATAGCTTTAGGATACACTATATTAATAGCACTTTGTTACATATTGTCACAATCAGTAAGAAAGGTGTAAGGTTGCCAATTCTTATATTATTTTTTAATAGCTTTAAGCCAATATATTAACATGTCCTTTGCTTTTTTTTCTGATATTAAATGGGCTACAGGTATGCTATATCCATCAATATTATCCTGAATAAGCAATATAAATAAGTTTATTTTATACAAAATTATTCTATAAGTGCTATCAATACAAACTGTTTGCAAACTTTTTAATTTTAACATTTGTTTCTGAAACTCAGTTTGGAAGACATATATAAATCCTAAAGATGAGCCTCAGGTTGGATTATCACATGTATAAGAATTATTATTTTTTGATAAGATAATCCATTCTTTGATAGATAAGTTTTCATCATAATCTTCTTTTTTATTTTCTAAAAAAATTACACCTTTTATTTCTTTACTAACAATATTGTACATATCAATATAGGAGATATATAAGTCTCACTTTTGTATTAAAGGTAAAGATTTTAAGCTTTCTTTGCTATGAATCTGATTAATGCATTGGTAAAACAATGACACAATTTGGAAGAGTTTCATTCTGTCATTTGCTCTTTCATGAATCCATTTTCTTGCTTGTTCAGATATTTTAAAAATTTATAGATCTTTAAGAGTGCCAGAATTATGCCCACTATGTAGCATGTAGTAGATAATATGAATATTATTATCTTTTTTATCATAATATTTGAGAACATGTATATAAGATTTGCAACCTGTTTTTTTTTATTGCTTTTGAACTAGATGAGGATGGCTATGATCAGATAAAGGCTTAACAGCTTACTTTATTGTGCCAGCTGTTGGCTTTTGTTTTCATAGTAGTAACAAATATATTTTTTATTTAGCTAATACTCAGAAGTTATTCAGTTATCTTTATAATTATAATTAGTGCCTACAATACTTGAAAGAATATTTTTAATCCAGTTTTTGTATGTTTTCAATTTGAGATGAGTATAAACCTTAATATATTCATTTATAACTGCTTCTTTCAATTTAGGTTTTTCTAGCAATTCAGGTTCTAGTAATTCAGATTCTTCTAACAATTTAGATTCTTTTAATAATTATAGCTCTGGTTTGAGTTTCTCTAATGATTCTATATCAGTTTTTTGCAATTGAGATTTCAATTCTTAAACATCAGATTCATATCCAAGTTCTTGCAATCTAGGATCAGAATTGGCCTGCAATTCAGATTCAGAAGTATTGATAAATAAAGATATATGAGACTGTTTACTAGCATGCTCAACAATATTGTTTATTAAATTAGCTAAAACTAAGTTATCAAATGCATTTTGGTTATTTGTATTTACTTCTTTTTGTAACTTGGATTTATCTGCTCTGGTCAAATTTTTAGTTGAATGATTAAACATTTTTCTAGTGATTTTTTATTTTTCAGGTTTATAAAAATAATGTAAATAATAGTTTCTAAAAGGTAATACAATTTATTTAAAAGTTTTAATACAAAATTCTTATACAAGCAATAAGGTTGATAAGGTAAAATATCTTTATATATATATTTTTATTGGTTTATACTTTTAAAATACAAACTTTAATTTGAAACTTATAGCATGTTTTTTAATTATTTTTTTTGTTAATTCTAATTTGATATAATTTAACATGGCATCATTTCTTTTTTTCTTTAAATCAGATAAAATGCATGATTTTTATTATGCAATTCTTTTTTAACAAGTTATATGCAAAAGCACAATAATTTTATAGTAATTTGCTTTCAATAAGGTTTGTTATATTATATGCAAAAGCATAATATTTTTTTATGATAATTCACTTTTAATGTTACATATTAATATGCAATATGCTTTATAACAATTTTATTTTAATAGAGTTTTGTTATATTACATATCAATGCACAATAATTCTCTCAATAGGTTTTGATTATAATACATATAATGCATGATATTCTCTGTAACAATCTTCTTTTATTGAAATTTATTTTACATATAAATGCATGATATTCTTTATAATAATTTTTTTAATAGAGGTTTGTTATATTATATTTTGGCATTGCTTTTTTATATGTTTGTTTTTTTTTTTACTAATATTTCCTTTTTTGGCTAGAATACCTTTCAACCTTTACTTAATAGAGAAATTGATTTAATATATATAGTTTTTTTTGGTTTAGCAAAACAATTTGTTAAATAAAATCATATTATTATTATTATCAAATTATAAAATTTATATTTAGCATATAATTAATCTGCAGTTATTTATATGCTCACAATATTACTCATTTTTTTTATTAACTTGTAACCTAAAGTTTTGCTACTCATAGTCAAATTCATAACTCAATGTTTTAGAAATTTGCATTACTTTGTACTAATTAAGTAAATAAAAAGGTAAACATATTATTTAGCTTATATTTAAGTGCTTAAGGATTATTAAGCATATTTTTTTAAAAAAACAACCTCTACTTTAATGCATTTAAAGATTTAGCAATATGATACAAATTTAACATTCAATTTTATGCAGTTCCAAATGAATTTTAATAGAATAAAAATATCTAGATTCATTCGAATTATAGTAAAATAATTAGTTTGATTATTGAATATTTTTGTAATTTACTTTATTTGTTGAATAGTTAAATAAACTAAGGCTTATTTAACTCATGATTTACTTGATTTTATAAAGCAGCATATTTTATTTAGTAAAATAAAAACACATTTTTTTACATAGTGCTTATGCTTTTATTTTTATATAAAAAACCCAAATATTTTGTACATATGTAATATAATAAAGTTGTGAATATTATTTAATAAAGAAAAAGATATCTATTTCAAACACTATAAAGTAATATGTAGTAGTCAATTTTAGCATTTCTGTATTATTAGTTCTGAAACACAGAAGTTCAGTTTAGAAAAGATTTGGGCTTCTTTAATTTAAGGTATTTATATCTTTTAAACTAGTAAAAGTTTGATTATATCGAATATTATAAACTTGCATTTTTGAAATTGGTCACTAATTAGTTCAGAAAATATACAGAAATTATATAGTCAAAATGCCTAATTATGAACAGATCATTACACATATTCAAATTTGGCAAAGGTCATATAGATGTACTTGATAAGTCCTTATAGCTATATAAATCTGTGAACTAGAAAGCCAGAGCCTATTTGAAAAGATCTAAGTAAAGAAATAGCACAAATCTTTAACAATACTATTGTAAAGACTAGACTTAGAAAATAGATACCAATGTGAAAGGAATCAGGCAGACAAGAACTTCAAGTAAGAAATACCACCAACTAGACCATTAGAAGTCTTGAATCAAAGAAAAAGAACCTTGAAGAGCAGACTCTAGAGTACCAGGAACAGGTTATAGTCCTTTTAGACTATCTGAATTGGAAATCTAAGATCAGAAGCAGAGATATACTATAAATACTAGAGATATGCTGTGAAGTCGATGCTAGGATCTGGATGAACTCTGTAAAGGCAAGTTCTGTTAACAAGAGACTAAATAAAGGTAGTTAATTAGCAGAAGGGCTTTCTAAAGCCCTATAGTTAGGTGATATATTCTGAAATATATAATGACTTGACAAATGTACAAACAGAAAGGTCAAGGTTAGATTAGATAGCATTTCAGTATACAGAAACTTGTATGCTATTTGTCAGTATAAGTATAGGATTAGAATGTTTAAATAGATAATTTTCTAGTAAATTACAGATATGGCAGCTAGTGTAGAACCTGCTGTGCAGACAGATTACTTAAAATAGATAATCAAAAGTTGTATATATAGCTAGTTGTAGACTTATCTTATACAAGTTATATAATCATAATTATCAAACTAACTTGCTTTAAATCAAGTATAATTTGGCAGACTGCTATAGTATATGCAACTTTTACTTAAACAAGAGATGTGAGATAATCAAGACAAATCAAGAATAAATAATTGCTAGTCTACTAAACAGACTATTCAAAAAGATAGTTCTTGACAGATTTATAATACAAGATAAGGAAGAAGTAGAACTAATAACAGAACTAAAGATATTTTTTTGATAGTTTAACAAAGCATTTTCAAACTAATTTAGAAAAAGGAAAACAAAATTAAATGAAATGTTCAAAAAATAAAAAGAGATATACAAACCAAAAAAATGATTTGAGAAGTTCTGATATAAGATGCTAAAAGAAAAGATAAAGGAGAAAGAATAAAAAAACATATTAAAAGAGCTTAAAACTAACACAGCTTTAAGAATATTAGACATAAGCTACATACTAATCAAGCATGCAGAAAAACAAATACAAAAAATCTTTAAAGCTTTCACAAACCTTATTTTAGAAAAAGAAGAAATCTTAAAGAAGTAAAAGATAGCACAAATATATTCAATTCCAAAAAATGAAAACTGGAAATATAGTTTAAATAACATTAGACAATAGCACTAATTAAAACTTTTAAAAAAATAGTCACAAAAGTAATAACAAAATAGTTGCCTAAGATATTTATAGAAAAAGAAATACTTAAAAAACCAAATTATACAGGTCTGCTAAGCAATTTAACAGAACAACCAATATATATATTAAATATAATAATAAAAGAAATATAAAAAAAAAATAAAGAAGTATAGATACTCTTACAATATATGAAAAAAGCTTTCGATTTAGTTCTACTCAAAAGCCTAGAATGGGTTTTTAAAAGAGTCAAAATATTACAAAAAACAAGAGAATACATATTTAATCTTTTTTGTAAATGATAACTTAAAGTTATTACAGCTTATGACTTAACAAAAGAAATAATAATAGGAGATGAAATAGACCAAAAAGAAGTAATCTTATCTCTAATTTGGTGTCTTTTTTATAATCCACTATTAGAAAGAATTCAAGAAAACAAAACACTAGACTATACAGTTAAACAGGAAATAACAGAAGAAATATGCAACAATAATATAACAAATATAGACAGGTAGCAATTGTATATGCAGATGATATAACATGAATTATTAGCAACAAGGATCAGTTATTAAAAATTTTTAAAATTGCAGAAGAATTCTTTATAGTTAACAATATTAAAATAAATAAGTCCAAATCAAAGCTAATAGTAATGAACACTAAATGCAAAACAGAAAATAAGAAAATTATATTCAATTGAAATAAAATAATAGAAGAACAAAAGAACAAAATTGGGGGTATGGCAACCTAATGAAGTGGATAGGTTGTCAACCCTCAAGTGGCAGGTCTAGAGTTCAAATCCCAGTAACAACGAAAATTTGCAATTCTTTCTGTATTATGGCTAACTATCTTCTATGATTGGTTGGAATAGGATACCTGTAACCTATATCATACCAGCCTGACTGGAAGGTCTAGACATTTATGCAATGTTGTATGAAGGAACACAAACCAGTACTGAGCAGTATGAACCCAAGATAAGTTCTTAGGCCATGTAAATCATAGGAACCAGGTAGGAGGATGGAAGCCCACTTGGAAGACCTGAGTAGAGAGGTAACCTGAACTTTCAACAGTGCTACTGTAAAGACTAGACCTATGAAATGGAACTAGAACTTGTGAAATCAGACAAAGAGCCAGCCTTTGAGGAGGGGCCGAATGGAACCAACTAGGCTGCCAAAATTTCCAGGTTCTGAAAGAAAAGATTACATGTCGGCAAACATGTAAACCAAAGATGTATGGTTACAACCTGCCTTTTCAGACTATCTGGTTTGGGAGCTTGGTAGAACTTGAATTAAATACCAAAGTAGTAGGGATATGTTATGAAGTCAGTACCGGAGTTGGGGTGAACTCTACAAGAGCATAGTGGTTAAATAGTATACTCTGACCACTAGTATTAGTCTTGGCCATAGCGATACCAGGTTAGCTATAAGAATGGAATACAGAAGATTCTGAAAGGTTTAGTATAAGGTCAAAGGTTCTCCATGTAAGTAAACCACTTTAAAGACTTAGTGACTATGGCATATTTGAATGAGTATTGACCAGAGCATCTTGGTAGGTGTAGGTAGGTAGGTGGATATAGGAACAGAATGGTTAAATAAGAAACTTAAAAGTAGGTTTCAGGTATAGCAGCTAGTATAGAACCTTCGGGCGGACTACTTAAATTAGACAATGACTAAAGTTGTACGAGTGGCTAGTTGTACACTCTTTCCATGGTTGCCTCCTGTAGTTGTAATGCAACCATTAGCTGAATGTACTATCAATAAAATCTTGGGTCACAAGTACTCACCTTAATATTTAAAAAAAAAAAAAAACAAAACAACAAAATTGTAAGATCATTAGGAATCTGGCTAAACAGTATAATAAAAGAGTCATTAATTTGCAAAAAGCAAAAGAAATAGTTAGTCAAACAGTCAAAAACTTAAGATACAAGAAAATAACAATGAACCAGAATATATATATAAATAATACAGTAATAATTTCAAAATTAGGCTATTTTCTATAACTACCAAAAATGTTAGAAAAAATGATCAATATGATATACCAACTACTAATATATCTAGCAAAACACAAATACAATAAGATAAAAACAACAAACAATTGCATAGTAGAGTACAAAGATCTAGACAATTGCAAATTACTAGATCAAGAAATAATAACAAAGCAAATAAATAATCTCTTTTTGTGACTTAATAAAAAGAACAGCTTAGGTAAGCTGACTAGACTTAGAATAGCACAAGAATGCTAGAATACAAGGTTAACAGATGATATTTGGAATTATGAAGAAAAACTAAAAGAAAAAAAATATTGAAAAAACAATTTAGTTTGTCATATAATAGCTAAAGCAAAAAAGATAAGTATACCTATTAAAACAGAAGATATTTTATAGAAAGTATATAAGGATTATTATATTTAAATCAGCTTATAGATCCAAAAGATAAAAATCTAATTATATAAAGACAACTCAAGTGTCACTTAGGACTGTTATATAAAAAAAAGGCCAAGTAGTTCAATGAAATAGAAAAGATTGCTAATAATATAAACAAACAGAGAAATCTACAACAACTACAAAACAAATAGATACAAAATTTAAGCATTAAAGATTAAATAGACAAAGTTGTCAAAAATTAAAGAAAAAGAAAATAGATTATATATGGGTCAAAGCACAACCAATAACTTAGCAAAATAGTTAAGAAGAAAGAAAAAAAGATACTAACAGAGTATTGGTTAATGAAAAAAGAAGAAGGAAAAATGACTACAGAAATAAGTAAATATAGAGGTTATAAAAACAAGCCAGAACAGATATCAGACAACTGTGAAAAATAAATAAAACATAATTATAATATAAAAGTAATTTCAGAAACAATAATTAAGAAGGATAATAACAAGATTAATACAACACTTGAACAGATACAGACAACAAAACAATAAAAGATTGAAGAAAAGATGAAAAAAACCTAATAGAACTAAAACTAATAGAAGAATTAGAGATAGAGTTAATTAGAAAACAAAGTCTAAACAATAAAATTGTAAATCACTTAATAGAAATCTTAGTAAGAAATAAAAGAAGAAACAAAGACAAATATACCTTCTATACAGATAAAGCATTGTATAAGAAGAAAGTAGAGAATAGTATAAGAAAGATAAATATCAGTTAGATGCAACTAGAAGATGGAAAAGACTGATCAGAAGAGGAAGTAATATTAGAACTTGAAGAATGACCTTTAATAACAATAGCAGAATTGGCAGCAATATAATCAACAATTCTAATAATACTAGAAAAGAAAAATATAGAAATATATACAGATAGCATTATAGTATTAAGAATATTAACAGAACAATTCAAAGTATAGAAGATGAAAGAATTCTTAAAAAGAAAAATGCAATGAACATTACAAATTTAATTAAAAGTAAAAATATTAAAATAGAAATAGTTAAAGTTAAAAATCATAGTAAGATAAGTAAAATAATAGAGTAGATTTACTTATAAAAAAAAAAGTAAATAGTAAAAAAATAATTTATATAAAGAAAATCAAATGCAACAGAATAGAGTACAATATAGAATAGAAAAACAAAAAAATTGATATATTAATAAAACTCCTTTGTAAAATAATTATAAATATCAAAATCAAAACTAGTTGGTAAGAAACAAACTCAATCAGATTACTAGAGCCAGAAACTGAATAGGCACTATACAACTGATCAAGCTTCTGAAAAGAAATGAATAGGATGAGTGGAATATATTGTACATTAAGAAAACTTAGTACAAGAAAAGCTATAGCAATCAAGTGCATAATGAACAGTCTACTGACATTAGAAGAACTAAACAGAAGAAAACCAGAAGTATACATAACAGCAGACTGCCAAGTTTGTCAAGAAGGTAAGATAGAAACCCAAACATATATAGCAAGCTGCAACAAACAAAGAAATCTATAGAAACAGATTTAAAAAGTTTTAGCAGCAACAGCATGAAATGGATTCAAAGAAAAAAAAAAAAAATCCTACTATAAGTGCTATATAAGTTGCTCTTTGAAAAAACAGAGAAAAAAGAAATTAAGAACAGAAAAACACTAATAAAAGAACTCACAATACTGAAGATTAAAAAAGAATATAAACAACTTTTAAACAAAAATGCAACACAGAAATATATAGATATAGTAACTAGAACAGTGTGGAACACCTTTTATGACCAAGTATGAAAAGTTCAATGTAAAAGAGTACAAGAATAAAAAAAAACTCCAATATAACAAATAAAATGAAAAAAAAATAATAGAGAAAAAAAAAACTAAAAAGAAAGAAGATAGAAAATAAAATATCAAAAGAAGACAAAAAAGAAAAGAAAATAGAAAAAATAAAATAAATGAAAAATGAAACATTAAAAACAATTAATATGCTTGTTACAGAAAAAAAAACCCCATTCTGATATGACTTTAAGTAATTAAACAAGCAGTTTATTTCTAACTAAAATAATACAAGTTGCACTTAAATACCATTAAGATGGCCAAGTAATGCTAAACTTATGTATTGGAAAATTCTATATAATTATATATGTATATAGTTTCAAAAATCTTAACAAAGTATTAGCATAACTGTTTAAGATTAAAAAATATATATATATAAATATATATTACAATTATAAAACTATTAAAAAAATAAAACATTATTATTCCATTTTTATATAAAAAACATAACATTTTATATATATTATTCTTTATTATAAAAACATACAATTTTTAACAAATTCTTGCAAAATGTGTCTGTGCTACCAATTAAATAATTGAATTCAAATAATTGCAATTAATTCCTGATCTTCATGATCTTCATTGTTATGTATCTCTATTAAAGGTTTTGTAGGAATAATTTTTGGTGATTCCTTAATAGCGGTTTCATTTGCCAACAAATCTTCCAATTCCTTTTCTAATTCATCGTCTTGGACAATAGTTGTATCAAGTAAGGATTCATTTCCTAGCTTCATGGCCTCATCTATTTCTTGCTGATCTGCCAAAATTTCTTGTAGCCTATCTATTGTGGCATCTACTGAATCGGCCGTGAGTCCGTTTGAAGCCATAACATCATGTAGAGTATTTGCACCAACGTTATATATATCGATTATCTATTTACAATACATTCAATTATTTATTACATAAGAGTTGGCCTGATAACTCGAAATTTAATTAATAAAAAATGAGAAATGAAATTTATTATTACTTCCGCATCTGTTGCTGCTCCTTGAATCTTTAGAAGAATCCCCTCAACAGTTTCTAAAGATCCAACCCTCTTTGATAAAACTTTTTCGAGGTGCATTTTTTGTCGCAAACGATGTTTCGCCATAACACTTTGTTTTTGAATAATATGATTGCGAATTTTGGTTGATATTCTAAAAAAAAAAAAAAGTGCAAAGTTCTGATAAATACGCCAAGAAATTATTGCGAGCAACAAAAGTTTTGAAATATATACTCTTTTATCCGCTCTTCTATGTCATGAATTTGCTGATGCAATTTATTACATGTTTCCTTGATATAAATGATCCCACGATCAATCGAAGTAATTTCAAATTTGGTATAAACATTGACATTTCTCGCTCTGAATTTTATGATCTATAAGATATCACATTTTATTAGTAAAAGTGTCCAACTAAAACTTAAAAATGTTAATGAAACATTATTTACCATGTCATTTTCTTTTCTATTAACCTCCTTATGCAAGGAATCTGTTATCAAAATTTTACGTTCAGACTCCAAATATGTAATCAAAATCTTTAGATCGAAATCTGATAATGTAACCTTTGGCATTGCTATGGCTGCAAATTCAGCTTTGAATGATGATAAAGTAAAGAGATTGTCGGTAACCCCATTAATTCCATGTTTCTCTTGATGTTGGATGACTCGACAAGCTGCTTCTTTTAATGTATCCATCTTAACCCATTTTGATGAATAATAATTTCTAGAACTAATCAATTTTTGAATTCCCCAATAAATTGGGTGTAATATATATTTCGAAATTATCCAACCAGTCCAGGATCGATTTTGTGTAGAAATAAACTCATCAACAGGTATTAGTTCATTGGTCATGTACATTTCTTGCTATAAGGATAAATATAATAAATATATTGCTTAAGCAAGCGAATATTTAGTTAATAAAACTTACAATGACTTACAATGACACAAGGCAAGCTTAACGGGCTATACCCTTTATTTTGAAAATTTTCTTCCAAATGTTCACTTGTTTCTAAACATATTACATTTTCACCAAGCAAACCGTGATTACTTGTTTCAATTAAAACCTTTTTCCAAAACCTGACACAGTCATTAAAAGTTGCCTGGTCTGTACTTTTTAAAATTGTAAAATCAGACCAGTACCAGTCAAGTTTATTTTGAGTTTCTAATTCTTGCAAAGATCTCAAATAAGCACGAAGGTCAGGCTGTTGGAGCATTTTACCAAATGTAAACATCCGATATCAATATCACATGCTATTTGTACTGAAAATCGTGATCGACTCTTTAGCGCAAAACTTACGAAATTGATACACCTGCACTTACTTGTTGATACCAACCTGTCCCAGGATGTCCCATCAATATCTCAACTACTAATTTATAAAATTATATAAAAATATGTTTCAACTGTCTTATGTACAACACTGCTTAAATGTACTACAAAATTTTATTACTTGTTGATATTAAATGTGATCACGTGATTTAACCAATAAACTTGCAGTACTATCCTTTAAGGGTAAAGTCTAATGTAGATCATTTTTCATATGATCTTAATGGTAAATTTTTTTTTTTTTTTTTTGGTATTAAGGTGACCTCTTTGGTCTTTTGACTTTTATTAATCACTTGTCGGTATTGT